ACAATCAATTACAAATTTAAATTATAGTACACTTTCAATTTAAATTGTAGTATGTTTGCTTTCAATCCTGACCTGACATTAGCTGTTGCTGGTAAAGATGCATATTTTTACCTTAAAGTTTTAACATTTCAAAAATTAGGTCTTAACCTGATAAAAAAATGGGCAGAAGATCTGAACAGACATCTCTCCAAAGAAGACACACAGATGGCTAATAAACACATGAAAAGATCCTCAATATCACTAATTATTAGAGAAATGCAAATCAAAGCTACAGTTAGGTATCACTTCACACTGGTCAGAATGGCCATCATCAAAAAATCGACAAAAAATAAATGCTGGAGAAGGTGTGGAGAAAAGGAAACCCTCCTACACTGTTAGTGGGAATGTAAATTGGTACATTATGGAGAAGAGTATGGATGTTTCTTAAAAAGTAAATATGGAACTATTATATGATCCAACAGTCCCACTCCTGGGCATGTATCCGGAGAAAACCACAATTCAAAAGGATAAACGCACTCCAGTGTTCACTGCAACACTATTTACAACAGCTAAGACAGAAAGAAACCTAAATTCCAAGAAAGGAGTGAATAAAGATGTGGTACAAATATACAATGGAGTATTACGCAGCCATAAGGAAGAATGAAATAACGCCATTTGCAGCAATATGGACAGACCTAGAGATTGTCATGCTGAGAGTAGAGAGACACAGAAAGACAGATATTGTATGATATCACCTGTATGCAGAATCTATAAGAATGGTAGAAATGAATTTCTTTACAAAACAGAAAGAGTCACAGATGTAGAAAAGAAACAAACCTATGATTGTAGAAAACAAACCTATGGAAGGGAAGGGGGATAAACTGGGAGATTGGGAATGACACAGGCTACTATATATAAAATGGATAACTAATAATGACTTACTGTAACACACAGGAAACTCATTCTGTTAAGGACCTATATGAGAAAAGAAGCTAAAAAAAGTGGATATATGTAAAACTGACTCACTTTGTTGTACAGCTGAAACTAACAAAACACTGTAAATCAACTATACTCCAAGAATAACTGTTTTAAAAATCCACAAAAATTAGGACTTAACATATGTGTATTTTTTTCCCTACCAACTCTTTCCTGTCAACAGAAACTACATATTCATCCCAGCAATGGTAAAATAAATTTAGAAGATACTTGTAAGAAAATAAATTAGGCTAATAAGTGCCCTAGAATGGAAAAACTCCAGTTGAGGTTTGGGAGGCAAGAGAGAAGGAAAGAAAATTAAACTGCAGAAATGTCTACACAAGTTCTGTAAACAAGTTTTAACCTATTAGGAAAAAAAAAATCACAAGTAAAATAAAAGCACTCTCTCAGCTAGAATATGTGCAAGGGCATGTTTATAATGAAATGAAGCAAAATATATGAAACCAAATGCTGAGAGAAGACTTAATAAAACCAGAAGCTTCCACAACAGACAAATTCAAGTATCTTATATCTATCACCTTTCTCTGAGGAATTTAAAAGCTTCTGGCATATATCCTCTCTATATATCCAGAAAATAAGCAACAAAAGAAGCACAAACATTTCATGAAACAATGAAGGAAAAGAAAGTAAACTGCTTTCAGCAGGTAAGAAGAGAATGTTCAGCATTCCAGCTCAGAAAACAAAGGAAGAAAGTATTATTCATGTCAAGAGATGCAAATACAAAATACAGCTTAGGAATAACTCCTCACAAGAACATCCAAAGCTGCAGATGGCTCCACGAAATCTATCTTGTTCTAATGGTTTTCATAGTGAGCCTGTGTATTTTTTTTTTAAACTTGGGCCTGGCTGCCTACATGGGTGTTGGGTCTATTGCTCTCCCTTCCAAAAACCCAGACCTCAGTAACTTCATTAAGAATCTTTCTAAAAAAAAAAAAGAATCTTTCTAGAACTGAGCTTCCCTTGCCTTCTTTCTGGAGTGTCCACCTTGCAGAAATGATGGCTGAGGCTCAATATTTCATAATTTAAAGACCTATTAAGGTGAACTTTATTTTATTTAAAAAACAGCTAAGTGGGTGCGTAGCTTGTTTTCCTCAAAAAAGTAACTGGAATTTGTGTGTGCATGCTTCCCGTCCTCCAGGAGCTTGTACATACCAAAAAAGAAAAGACAAATGCCCAGAGAACTACAATCAGAGTGTGGTAAGTTCTTTAAAAGTCATGAAAAATCACTAGACTTCAGAGGCAGGAAATACCATTTCCAACTAAACTTATACAGGTATCTGCAGTAGCGCTGACATGTGAGAGGTTTTGAAGGCTGGGCACTTAGAAACAGCAGCAAAAGTCCTCGAGACAAACAAGTAACAGTCATGTAGTCCCATCTGTCAGAATTCCTGCCCACTTGGAGGAAAAGACCTACTTATTAATTAAAAAAAAAAAAAAAGAAAGAGAAACTGTTGTGAGGCAACCCTGGAATTCTATAGGGAATCACCATCGAAACCTTATTTTACTTTCACATTTACAAGTATAGGCTGGAAATCACCTTTCTTCCATGTGGGAGACACAGGCTAGAAAAGTGGATTTGAGATCGTGTCACAGAGAACTCGGCGCCAGCCTTCTCGCTCTGGATTTCATCCTGCAGGTGAGGATGCGAAGGCCAACGAGAAGGGAGCAAGCAGAGCTGCAGGTGTAGAGGATGAAGTGGAATGCAGGAGGGCTTGAAGACACGGGAACGTGGCAGCGGTAGGAAAGGCAGGATTGCGAGAAACTGACAAGAGAACTAGGTCAGTAGCTACTATCTGCTCATGGAGTGCCAGGGAGAAGGAGGAATCAGCACTGCCTCCAGGTTTGGCTTCCCTGGTGGCTCAGAATCTGCCTGCAACGCAGGAGACCCGGGTGTGACCCCTGGGTCAGGAAGATCCCCTGAAGAAGGGAATGGTAACCCACTCCAGTACTCTTGCCTGGAGAATTCCACGGACAGAGGAACCTGATGGGCTACCGTCCAAGGGGTCGCAAAGAGCGACTAACACAACGGGACAAATAACTAGAAACGGGGGGAGGGGGGAACATGGCAAAATGAATGGTGAACTGGCTTAACTAATTACTAGTACTAGCTGGAAATGTCTGCATGTGACCTTCCCTGGTGCCAGGCACTGTTTCCAGGCACTTCGGGAATATCAGTGGACACAATTGGCAAGTACTCCTGCCCTCATGGAACTTACCGCCTTGTGGCAGACACAGATAAGAGACAAGTAAACAGACAGGCAGATGTATACTACAGGAAGAGTAGGGCTGAATGGGATTTTAAACAGGAGGGTCTGATACAGCAACATCTGAACAAATACCTACAGGTGAGGGAGTGGACTCGACAAGGAGCCAGGGAAGAGTCAGCAAGTAACAGACCAGTATCTCCAAATAATTTCACTTCAGGATGCTTTTGAAGTTAGTGGCAACTGCAACTTATCTGTTTCATGACTGGGACTCAAGTCTAATTTCCTTGGGTTAGCATTCGGTAACTATCTTACCCAACCAAGAAAACTTCACCAATAACACGATAATAAATTGCCTAGAAGGTCAATGTGTTTACACTGGCTGTTTACATTCCTTACATGAGAGAAAAGGGCTGTATAAAGTAACAAAGCCAAAGCGCTGTTAGAACATGTTTGTACAAAGCTGAAGACAATCATCTTGTTCTCAAAGCAATCATTGATGTGGCAACTCTGAGACTTGTGATTTAAATCAAAGGTGCTAAAGAATGATTATGAATCATGCAATTAAGCTATGAAGCAGGATGATGCTGAGAGAAAAATCATTCATAGCACCATAAAACTGTCAAAAATAAAAATAGTACTATCATCAACACCAGAAGTGATATCATCCTTTGATTTTATAATCTGCTTCTCAGCAGAGCTGAATTCTAGTCTAAGCCCTGTCACTTATTGGTTTTGGATCTTGGGTCTGATCCTCATCTATGAAGGGCAGCCCATCTGGTTTTTCAGATTCCTTTCAATACTGAGTTTCAAGCTGGCAAGTTAGGATTCTTAGAAGGTTAATTAATGTACTCTGGTTCACCTCATTTTGCAATAATATTACAAATAAGTATCCATCCAAAAGAGTACAACTTATAAGTTCTGTATAAAGCAAGATGAACTTCTTTCGAGCACCAGAGTTTAGTGCTTAAAATGAGGCTACACTCACTGAAAAAGTGCTGCCTTTCTTCATGCCTCTTTGAGAACAACCCTCAAGATGCTGAGGTTTCCGTATCATTTGAGAGTGGTTTTGATTTGGAATAAGGTAGATGATCACATCTCTAGCACGACAAAATAGTAATGAGACCTTTTTCAGTGGGATTCAGTCTTTGAAAACTGTTCCAAAGCAACCTCCAAGCAATGGTTCTGCAGGAAGGTTTTTCTTTCTACTGTTTTGAAGATGAATGCCCATCTGACTGCATAATAAAGAAAACAGCCCAAGTTACTATGGACTATGCCTGCAATGCAGGAGACCCAGGTTCGATCCCTAGGTCGGGAAGATTCCCTGGAGAAGAGAATGGCAACCCACTCCAGAATTCTTGCCTGGAGAATCCCATGGACAGACCATGCGGCCTCAAAAGAGTCAGACACGACTGAGCGACTAACATGAGCCAGACATTACTAAGTAGTAACTCATTTAATCCTGAGGAAAAAATCCTATAATGCTGGATCTATTATTATTCTCACTATACGCATGCAAAAACAAAGTCATAGAAAAGTTTAGCAAACTGCCGGAGTTTTCATAATTAATAAGTAGATTCAAACCCCAATATTCCAAACAGCTTCAAAGCCTGCCCGCTAAATCTCCACAATCCATTGCCTGTGCAAACCTCCGTGTCCTTGTTGAAATAACAGTCCTATTACCAGCCACACTCTTCTTGCAAACTTTGTAACACGAAGTCAAAATAAAGGCTCCCGGTAAGCTCACTGCCGAGTTCCTCCTACAGTTTCTGAACCACGAACTAGACACGTACGTTACAAAGTATGAAGTCTCCGCAGTACCTGAGGTCTCTCGAGATTTGTGTGGTGGGTGGAGGGAAGAGTTTCGTGGCCGGGAGCTAGTGAGATTAACACGCGCTCCGAAGCTAGAGCCCGACCCTGTCTCCCTCCCTTCCTCTCTCCCGGGGCTCACGCCACGGGGCTGCCCGCCCGCGCCCTGAGCTCCCGCTCCGCACGGAAATGGTACCGGGACCCGTTCGGCCAAACCAACACCTGCTTCTGGCGCGCCCCCCAAGGGTGCCTCCACCGGGTCGGCGTGGCGCCGGGCCGCCTTCGCGTTCCCCGCCCCGCCCCGCGGCAAGCCACGCCCCGCCCCGCAGCAAGCCACGCCCCCACCTATCAACGGCGCCGTCTCGGCCGCTAGCCCCGCCCAAGCCGCGGGTTGGGGGGGAAGGGGAGGGCTTTTGCTCACTCAGCTCCACCCTCTCAGCGCCCGGGGGCGGAGCTTCCGAGAGGAGCGGTAGGCGGGTAGCAGCCCAGGAGTGCCCGGGGTTGTCCGACCCCGAGGGAGGAAGGGCGGGACGCTAGCAGAGGGAAAGGGTGAAAGGAGAGAGAGAGCCTTGGGGGGTAGGCTGGGGAAAGAGGCTGGGGAAAGAGAAGGGAGGGCGCTCTGCCCAGGTTCCAGCTGAGGTGTTGGACTGGGTGAGACAACGTAACGTAACAAGAGTTCACCTATTCAGGGCACTGGGTAATCTCATTCTCTTCGGACAGCCACACGAATTCTGGGTTCCAAGCGTGAGAAGTCATAGGGAACGGTTTTGAGGGGCAAAGAAAGGAAGCAATTCCTTTACTGGTCTTCATCACACAGCCTCCTTGTTTTAAAAATTGTGGAAAGGACTCCCAGAAAGAATCCTCCCTCCAGATTTGTTGTTCAGTCACTCTGTCGTTTCCAACTCTTTGTGACCCAATGGACTGCAGCAGGCCAGGCTTCCCTGTCCTTCATCATCTCCCTGAGTTTGCTCAAGCTCATGTCTATTGAGTCGGTGATGCCACCCAACCATCATTGCAGATTTAAATTAATGTTAATCATTCCCTTTCCCTTCAAACAGCTCCCCTCAAACAACTTTTAAACAGAGCAGACCCGAGTTTGACATTAATGCCTATTTGCCATGGTGTGTATGGATAAAGAGAAAAAAAAATCAGATCTCTGGAAAGGAATTATTTTAATTATCAATTGATTTGGGAAGGTGAAAAAACGATTTAAGAAATCAAGTCAATAACTAATTGGATTATGGTGGGGAAACACACAACTCACTTTGCCACAAACAGGAATGATATACAGAAACCTTTGCTAGAAGATTTTCTGAAAACAGTGCCACCAGCCTAGCTGTGTGGCCTGAAGGGAAGTCACAATATCTGAAGTCCTCAATTTCCTTATCTGCAAAGTGAAGTGATTAGGCCTGGAGACCTGAAGATCTCTTAAGTACCCTTCCTCACTCCACATTATCCTGCCAGATTCAATGATTAAGGGAGAAGGGCCATGGAAAAGGTGCTGTACAGTTAGGAGACACACAGAGAAATTGGGAATCTTTAGAAAAAGCCTCACACATCTCTGGCGTCATTTCACTGAAGCGCTCCTCTCTGACTTTTCTATTTGTTATTATAGTAACACTCTGGTCCTAGCTCAAAAGTTTAGACGCTTCTTCCTTCTCAATCCTCACAACTAGTCACTAGGTCCTTGATTTTCTTCATTTCAAGGTCTCTTCAATGACCCCTCTCATTTTCACTGTCATCTCTGTACAGAGTACAAATGCAAAGAACTCAGAATCTTGTATCTGACCTTCACTTACTTTTTCCACCTACAATCTCCAACTGCTCTCTGTGTATGTACACATTTGTCTGACAGACTGTCTTCTCACTGTATGATACCCACAATAAACAGCCAACGCTTCTGCCACAGCACACTTAGAGCCACGATTCCCTGCTCAGAATACCTCTCCTCAGTCCTAGTGACCTGTCAGGACCACAGGAGCTCAGCGCAGGAGCCTCTCCATGTAATAAAATGGCTGCCATGCTTAGAATCTCTACTACTCCACCTGGCACTCAGCAACAACTGCTTGCTTTGTTTTCTCTGTTATTTATCATATTTATCTTCAAAACTAAACCATAAGCTATTTACTGAATGTCCCCAAGCTCCAGCCAATCCAGGAAGAAAAAGCTATTTTCACTATCTCAAAAAGCCTAAAAGAAACTATATATTCATCTACAATTAGGCTATTCAGGTTTCCTATCACAGAAAGATTATCTGTTTTTGTCTGAAATCATACAATGCTGAAGTTACACAATTACTTCAAGTTAACCCATGGACAGAGGAGCCTAGTGGCCTACAGTCCACAGAGTCTAAGAATTGAACACAACTTAGTAACTAAACAACAACAACCAAAGCTTTGATGGGCAGTTACATGTGACTGATCAAAAACACAGGAAAATAAATTATTATTAAATAAGGGTGGTTTGTTTTGAAGACCAAATCTTTGAGATTCATGGAGCTACATACAAACAAAAAGTAGCCTACCCATTCTTTGACACCCCATGGCCAAACAAGTGATGTACCTATGTGTGTGTGATAAGTCGCTTCAGTTGTGTCTGACTCTTTATGACCCCCATGGACTGTAGCCCACCAGGCTCCTCTGTCCATGGGATTCTCCAGGCAAGAATCCTGGAGTGGGTTGCCGTGCTCACCACAGGGAATCTTCCTGACCCAGGGATCAAACCCATGCCTTTTACATTTCCTGCACTGGCAGGCAGATTCTTTACTGCTAGTGGCAACTGGAAAGCCCAATGTATCTATAGTGAGTGAGTGAAATCGCTCAGTCGTGTCTGTACCCACAATAAACAGCCAACACTTCTGCCACAGCACACTTAGAGCCATGATTCCCTGCTCAGAATACCTCTCCTCAGTCCTAGTGACCTGTCAGGACCACAGGAGCTCAGCGCAGGAGCCTCTCCATGTAATAAAATGGCTGCCATGCTTAGAATCTCTACTACTCCACCTGGCACTCAGCAACAACTGCTTGCTTTGTTTTCTCTGTTATTTATCATATTTATCTTCAAAACTAAACCATAAGCTATTTACTGAATGTCCCCAAGCTCCAGCCAATCCAGGAAGAAAAAGCTATTTTCACTATCTCAAAAAGCCTAAAAGAAACTATATATTCATCTACAATTAGGCTATTCAGGTTTCCTATCACAGAAAGATTATCTGTTTTTGTCTGAAATCATACAATGCTGAAGTTACACAATTACTTCAAGTTAACCCATGGACAGAGGAGCCTAGTGGCCTACAGTCCACAGAGTCTAAGAACTGAACACAACTTAGTAACTAAACAACAACAACCAAAGCTTTGATGGGCAGTTACATGTGACTGATCAAAAACACAGGAAAATAAATTATTATTAAATAAGGGTGGTTTGTTTTGAAGACCAAATCTTTGAGATTCATGGAGCTACATACAAACAAAAAGTAGCCTACCCATTCTTTGACACCCCATGGCCAAACAAGTGATGTACCTATGTGTGTGTGATAAGTCGCTTCAGTTGTGTCTGACTCTTTATGACCCCCATGGACTGTAGCCCACCAGGCTCCTCTGTCCATGGGATTCTCCAGGCAAGAATCCTGGAGTGGGTTGCCATGCTCACCACAGGGAATCTTCCTGACCCAGGGATCAAACCCATGCCTTTTACGTTTCCTGCACTGGCAGGCAGATTCTTTACTGCTAGTGGCAACTGGAAAGCCCAATGTATCTATAGTGAGTGAGTGAAATCGCTCAGTCGTGTCTGACTCTTTGTGACCCCATGGACTGTAGCCTACCAGTCTCCTCAGTCCATGGGATTTTCCAGGCAAGAATACTGGAGTGGGTTGCAATTTCCTTCTCCAGGGGATCTTCCCGACCCAGGGATCGAACCCAGGTCTCCCGCATTATAGGCAGACGGTTTACCATCTGAGCCACCAGGGGAGCCCCTATAGTGAGTGCTTAAAAATATATTAATCAGATTATGATTATTTTCAGTTTTCCTTAAGTTCTCTCTCTCTCTTGCTATAATTAAAATACTGGCCTTTTCTTTTTCATGCAAATAAAGCTGTAGGAGTTTCCCTTTCTAATTTCAAATAAACTTTCAAGAATAAGATAAACAAGAATCACACAGCACCTCTTGGTGTTGGACTAGAAAACGTTTTAGTATTCAAGAAATAAACCCTCGATTCACATTAAACTGCCTGTATTAGGGGGCCCTACGTACTATTAAGATCTTTAGAAAGTAAAATTTCCTTCACTGCAACCTTACCCAAACGAAACAAGTAGAGGCAGAACCAAGTTTGCAGAACCACTACCAAGTAAAAGAGTGAAACCTGATTTGCAATCTATCAATGGCTCCTTGTGTTTTGAAAATGTCACTGCATGTTTAAGGGAGGCCGCAGAGTTCTGAAGTCTGGGCTAAACAATCTATAAATCACCAGTCACAGCAAACTTTTCTAATATTCCAGAGATTTAAGAAGTATTAAACAGGCAGACTAAACAACAGTCACACTTCATTTTACAGAGTGGTTGTACCAGAGGCTATTTATTATAGACTCTTGGAACTTTTCCTCTCCTCAGAGTGTGAGGTGACTATTAAGAGCAGAGCCTTGGGACTTACCTTGTGACCCCGCCTGCCAATGCAGGGCACACGGCTCGATCCCTGATCCAGGAAGATCCCACTTGCTGTGGAGCGGCAAAGCCCATGTGCCACAACTACTGAGCCCGTGCTCTAGAGCCCAGGGAACTGCAACCGCTGAGCCCGCACATCTAGAGCCTGTGATCCTCAACAAGGGAAGCCACAGCAACGAGAGGCCAGCACAACACAACGGTGTGGCCCCCCCACTAACCGCAACTAGAGAAAACCTGTGCAAAGCAACAAAGACCCAGTGCGGCCAAAAAAAAAGCGGAGAAGCCCATGTGGGGAAACCACTGAACCCAGAAGAATAAAATGGAGTAATAAGGGCCATATTTGCCCTCCCATGTAAACCAACAACAAGGAAACAGA